TACAAACCGTACAAACTTCATTCAACTAATCATAATTTTTTATTTTGTTCATTTTTTTGTAATTATAAGAGGTTGATTAATCATTTTTATTGTGGATGATGTTAATCATGGATATTATCATCTTCATTATTTTAATTTTAGAGAAATACATGAAACAGTTTCATTAATTTTAGAGAAATACATGAAACAGTTTCATTAATTTTAGAGAAATACATGAAACAATTTCATTAAGTAGTATATGAAACAATTTCATAACCATATATGAAACAACTTTATCAAAAAAATATTATATGAAACAATTTCACAAGATTAAACAATTTCATGAAAAAATTTCATAAGATTAAACAATGAAATCGACGAATGAGAGTAATTTTTACGGTTTTTACAAATTGAAGTGGTTTTCATTTGATCGCTCATCTATATATATATAAGGTTGTAAAAAAAATATACCCTATATATATATATATATATATATATATATCCCTTCATAACCAGTCTTGCCTTGTAATTAACAACCTTCCCATCTCCATTTAGCAGGTCTTAAACACCCATTTAAACCCTATTTTCGTTACAAGTTCCTAAGTTTTTTTTTCAATACGCGTCTAAAATGTTATTTACAAAAATTATATCACACTACGGGATATAAAGAGAAATACATTTGAAATTTCAAAGCAAAACACTGTGAAGATAACCTTTATAGTGTTTTTGCTGTGAAAGTTCAGATTTTTTTTTTTACCTTCACAACATTTTATTATGAAGTTTCAAGTGTAAAAAATTTATCTCACGAAAACAGTTTTGTCTCAAGTGAACCCAACCCTCTTCTCAAATATTCATATTTGAACTCTATAAAAATAATTGATGCCCACCTGATAAACACGTTCAAATGCATAGTAAACATTGAACCTTGAATTATATTAGTCGATTCACAGTTCAAAAATTACCATAGAATATTTAAAAGCAAGAGGAACTAAGAATAGAGCGAAACAAAAAACATGATTCAATGGATGTTTGGTTAGAGGCATTAAACAGTAATTAATTTAGGATTCAAAATAAAAGTAGTTGTTTGATTTTATATAATATAATGAGTCTATTCTCCAGAAGCCCAAATTTTCATTCACGTTAAATTAGAAGAATAAAAATTCATTCTTATTTTCATTTCCTGTCATTTTCATTCTCATTTTCTTTCCTGTATTTGAACTAAACAACCTCTAAATATCCAAATTCTCAGTTTCATAATTGAAATCTATTGCACAACATTGCTCGAGTATTAAACTAGCAATTATAAACATATAAATATAGGATTGGGTTCACGTGAGACCAGCATGTTCCACTTTTTTACACTTAAATTTTCACAGCAAAACTCTGTGAAAGTAAAAAAAAACGAAACATTCACAGCAAAAACACTGTGAATGTTACTTTCACAACGTTTTGCTGTGATGTTTCAAGTGTAAAAAAAAGTGATCTTATGGATCTCACGAAAACAAGCTGATATCAGGTGATCCCAAGTCTATAAATATATGATTAGCAATTAACTTTTTGGAATATTTGATTGAAAAATATTTAATATTGTAATTTGAAGGTGCATTGTTCATGGACCCAAGCCCATATTTCAAGATGAACTCATACTCAGGTATGGACTTGTAGTTTCAGTGGGCCCATCTATATTGAAGTTTTGGGCCTTTGGGCCAACTTATTGGGCCCTAAGAAAGCCCACGAGAGATGGAAACGTAAGAGAGTGATCGTCGTCGGCGTCGTTATTGACAAAGAAACAGTCGCCGAGATTTCCATGGATAGATCGCCGACGCCACCGCCCCCGCCGCCGCAACCACCAAAGGAATCTCTTGCTCGAGGTTATAAATTCGTCTGGCGTATTCTTCTCATTTCTAACCTTGCTCTCGGAGGTCTGTCTACCCCTCTTTCACCCTCTCTTTTGACGCAATCACAGCTTGTTTCTAAATACTTAAGCATGCGTATTATTATTCTTCTTATAATGTTCGATTATGTTGATATCATGAATAGATTTAGGTAGAAGGCCATTTCTAGATGATCTTAGGGTCCCTTTGGTTGGTTTTTCATCAGCAGATAAACTGGTTTTTCATTAATCTGTCTGTATAGATCAGAGGGGTTTTTGTTTGGGAGGGTTGTTCCAATGGAAGGGGGTTGTTTTTTAATTGGGAAGGGGCATGCTTGGAAATTTTTTGGCTTTCTATAAAAAGCTTCTCCTGGAAGCTTATTGAATAAGCCACTTTCTATATCATTAAGTCACTAGCAAAACATCATGTATAGCTGACTGAATAAGCTGAGTCCCGTTAAGCTTATTAAGCTGCTAACAAACATTCCCTCAGGGCTTAATGATGAAAATCCTAGAAGTTTATTGAATAAGCCACTTTCTATGTCATTAAGTCACTAGCAAAAAGTCATGCATAGCTGACCAAATAAGATGTGAATCCCATTAAGCTCATTAGGCTGCTAACAAACAATGCCCTTAGGGTTTAATGATGAAAAGAAGTAAACTTACGGTTTAGGTTTTTGTCTACTTTTTGTTTTAGTTCGTATGATGGTAGTGTCAAGTGTGTATGTGCTTGATTTGTATACATCAAGTGATAATGATGGAATGAGATAATAAGAAGTTTTGGAGCCATTTGTGCAACTCATTCACCTGCTGAGAATAACTGATGAAGTAGCTGAACCATTCAGTCAAGTAGTGGAGTAATGCCTCATTGATCTTCTCCAACACATTTCACCTCACCCATGTCTTAGAGCCCATTATGCAAGATTATGTTGTTCCCAAGAAAACTCCCATTTAGCTTACACTTCACAATGGCAGTGATTTCAAGTTTGTTGGTGATAATTACAAGCATTCTTAATCATTCTGAGAATTGGAAAGTTAAATCTATCTTTGGAATGGAGATATTGCATAAAATGTCAAAACTTCTCTAGTCATTATGTAGCTTGTTTACTACGTGTGAGTAGTCCATTTTTAAGAACCGTGTTGATTCTGGTGAGAAGTTATGGTGAGAATGTTAAGAAGGGATCTCCACCCTTGGATCAAGCCTAGTTGAAGATCAACACTAATGAGATATTGAGATGCACCGAGATTCACTGGAATTCCAGTGAGAAGTGCAAATTCATGGGATGGGAGTGAGATTAAAAGTGATCAAGGGTCCAGATCCCTTCTTACACTTCTCACTTTAACTCTTATTCTCACACGATCCTTCGTCTTTAAGAACCTCCCAGGTTTATGGGTGGTTTTTGAAATCATGGCAATGATTTTATTTATGGACGTTGTTCCCGTTAAAACCCTAGGCATGTAATTATGAAATAAACAGAATGGATCATTGAAGTTCTATTCTACCATGTTCTTACTTTGAGAGTTGCATGTCAACTCCTGGTAAGTGGTTCAACGACTAGGCTAGCACCAAACACCGTGGGTTCATTTCTAAGGGAACCCTTAGCCCGATCATCCAGTTTATTCCTATGAATCCTATCTTTGCAGGTTCAAAATCCCATTTGTTCGCCTTAATTCTAGGATCACAGGTACTATTTTTTAGATCTCTGTCCTCTACCTTTGATGTTGCCATTTCATCCTTATGTTATATATACCTAGACGAAGGATCGTGTGAGAATAGGAGTTAACGTGAGAAGCATAAGAAAACGTAAGAAGAGATCTGGACCCTTGATCACTTTTAATCTCACCCCCACCCATGAACTTGCGCTTCTCACGGGAATTGATGCAGTGAATCTCATTAGTCGTGATCTTATTATAGGACAAACTAAAATTGGAATATTGGACACTTAGGGCCTGTTAGCAACTTAATGAGCTTAATAGGATTCACAGCTTATTCGGTCAGCTATACATGACTGTTTGGTAGTGGCTTAACGATATAAAAAGTGGCTTATTCAGTAAAATTCTAGGGGGAAGCTTTGTGCAGAAAGCCAAGTTTTTTCCAAACCTGTTCATCCCAATTAAAGAACACGCTCCTTCCATCTTCGAAAAAACCCTCCCGAACAAAAACATTCACAATTTCTACAGACAAGACAGATTAATCCACACAGACAGCTTTATTCATACAGGACTTAATGGAAAACCAACCAAACAGCCTCTTATTCCGGAATTTACCCAACAATGTACATTTGTATTAATCTGTAGGTAATAGAAAGTTACTGGTTTCTCAAGTGATCCCACATATTACAATTTTTTTCATACCATTTGTATTAACATTGGTTTATTTGTCAAATTTGCAGCATACATATTTACCAGGCCAAGAAAGAAAGAAGCAGTGAAAAAGGATAAGAAACCTACAGAAATTCAATCTGCTCCTGAGATAAAAATCATCCCTGATTCCGAAGGAGTTGTCGCTACCCCTGCCTATGACCCCGAGAATAAACCAATCCCGATTCCCGAAAACCAATGGTCGAAACCGTTCAAATGGTAGTTACAATAGCTCGAGAACATACCCCCGGGATCCAGAACTGTTTTTAGTTTTTACTCTTCTCCAATGGTTTCTCCCAGCTCATCAGTGGGCTCGACGATTATCCAATAGCCAAAACTATAGCCTTAGTCCTCTTTGTTTCTAGCCTCAAATCTTCTTTTCTTTTCTTTTTTTCAAATTGTTTAGTCTTTTTAGCAAGATTTCTATTTCTCCCACTTTTTGCAAGCCACGGTTTTCACGGAAACAGTTGCTCTGCACTATAGATAGAATAGATGATAGGTCTACAGACGGGTTTGATTTTCTTTGGTTTGGTACCACAAAATCTTGTAGGTTTCGTTTTGATCTCGAGTTCATCACTTTTGAATTCTTGACCTTTATTCAAACTCTTCAACTCAGTTTCTTCACGGAAACAGTCGCCCTACTGATTGTGGCAGAGTACAAGTCTGTGTACATCCCAACTCCTTAGACCCTACATTTGGATGAGATATACTGAGTTTGTTTGGTTTGATTTTATTTAAATTTTGCACCGTTTACAAAGATTGTGAAGGATGAATTGTATCGACTATTTCACCTTGACGGGTTTAACGTAGTCATCGGTTAATGTGGAAATCTTCCATAGATGTTTAGGTTACATCTCTAATGAGGCTAATGTTTGAAGGGATTCTTGTTGAGGGACAAAGAGATGTGAGTGATTGTTGGTTTACATTTTGATGGAAAATCAATAGTTCTGCTTCATGTTTCATATTATTATCATTAGAGTAAATTACGTTTTTCGTCCCTATGGTTTGTTAAAAATTTCGGTTTCCGTCCTTGTGATTTAGAAATTCTGGTTTTCGTCTCTATGGTTTACAATTTATTTTTGTTTTGGTCCCTGTGGGTTACAATTCTTTGCTGTAAAAGTAGCAATAAATTGTAAATTATAGGGAATAAAATTGCAATATTTCAAAACCATAGAGACGAAAATCGTATCATAATATAATCTTGTCATTATTTATATAGTTTGGTTAATTTTTGAGAACCCTAACCTGGGACGCGGACCAATTTAGACATTCACATACTGACCCTTTGAGGACCAATATTGGTTAGGACCGTTAATTATAAATGAGCAAGCGGGTTAACCGGTTAGTCCTTAGACCGGTTCCATTGCAAGCCTCTAGTAGCCTGAACCGGTTACATATGGTTAGGACTGTTGATCATACATGGCAAACCGGTTAATTTATACCATTCCTATCCTCCAGTAGCTTGAACTGGTCACTACGTAACTGGGATGAGTACAAACCGGTCTTTAAGAGCAAAAGCAAGAACCAATCAACCTATGTGCATTTGGTACGTGAGAATTTGATGTCTCAACTCTTATATTTGGTGCGACATCAAGAGGGAAAAATAGGATTGGGTGGCACAGATGGAACATTTTCCTTCCAAAATAGGTGGAACAAAAAGCAAAGAGATAAGACAAAAGTAGTAAATCATCAAACTATCTGTGTCAAATTAGAACCCTTAAACGTTGCACAATTTCTTTCACCTGCTTACTTCACTCTCGTTTGTTTTAGTTTTATCTCATTTGTGTCATTATGTGTACCAAATGCACATTTATAGCAACGGGGTTCCCTATTTTCCGTTTATTTATTTGATTATAAATACCTAAAAAGGTGTTTGTTTTGGTGGAAGGATTTATTTGGAATCGTTGGTTTGTTTTTAATGTAATAACAAATTATAAAAATAATTAAATTATCTCTTATTAATTGATTATTTGAAAACAAATGTTTTTAACATATTTTAAAACATTATTATATACAGATACTATAAAATCTCGTGAAATCCCAACCATCCCCATAAGATTTCAAAATCCTATGTTTATGTTTATGTTTATGTTTATGTTTAAGGGATTTCAATTCCAAACAATCCTGCAAACCAAGCATGAAATTAGAATGTATTTAAATTCCAAATCCCCCGAATCCATTTCAATTTCATTTCTACAAGACAAATGGACCCACCTTCTAAAACCCTAATACCCTAACTAACAGGTCCCCTTGACCGATCAACCCTCAAAAGTCAAAATGGTGTAACAAATTGGACCGGCTAGAAATTGGGCCTTTTTACCCATTGTTATCGAGGAATTTGTTCAGAAATAGCGATTTTAAATATTTCTAATTCTAAGAAAGTGACAATAAAAACCCGGTTCTTGAATATTTTCTTCGTACTTGAATTAAATCAACTCTCCATAGAAGATGGAGTGAAGTTATGGAAGTTCATAAATGGCAGCAATTTCATCGCATCCCACACTTACTATGCAGCCATCGGCGGCATCCGCTTGCTGATATCCGGCATTTCTCAGGCCGCATTCCAAATTCTATACCAAGTCGATGGCTCCACGCTACGAATTGATTGGCTTGCCGTTTAGTTTGGGGAACGGGTCCTGTTTGCTTAGAACTGCCACTTTGCTCTTGTGAGCAAAGTACCCTTTCACCAAATTCTTGTATATCAAAATCGACATTATGCATTCAACCTGTGAGAAAAAACGGTTGTCAAAAGTTCTGTATGACCCATCATCCTCTGGAGCTTCCTCACTGTACCAGTTTCATGGTCATCATGTGTCTCACAGGCAGATGGGTCCAGTTTCATGGTCATCATGTGTCTCACAGGCAGATGGGCTGGAATCAAACCTTCGACCTATCAATCATTCCGCAAGGATGTACACCTCCCTACCCACCAGGCGGCAATTGACACCAGAAAATTGACCAAAATAGTCAAACTCTCGACTTCAATTCATTTTATAGCCACTTTTTATGAATGTTTTTTCACTTTTTTCTAATTAAAAAAAAAAGAATAAAGTATGGCTTACCCATTTGCGTAAATGTAGTTATTTAATTACACTTTATACCCTTACAATTACAAATTAAATAGCTAACCATAAGGTAGAAAGTGTAAGTATTAAAAATAATTCTATGTGAATCTGAATTTAATAATATGATTAAAACCAAAATTATTCAATATTGAGCTCATTTTGAACGTGTTGGCGAGACAATTATAATGGGTAAAATTTGTAAAAAAACGTATTTTTTTATGTAATTTAATTAATATAATAAGGGTGTAAAGTGAAAAATGAAAAAGTAATGGATATAAAGTAAATTAAATAACTAATTATAAGAGTACAAAGTGCAACTACATAACTACATTTTTCTTTTTTTAATTCGGGCTATAAAGTGAATTAAAGTTGAGGGATTCGCTATTCTGGTCAATTTCCCGTTGACACTTGATTCATTCTCACTGTCTAGAATTTCCTGTTTTGTGTCTCCTGGAGCAGATGAGGGGTGTCCGGAGTCGAATCCCAGAACTCCCACTCATTCTGCAAGGATGCCCACAACTGGAAAAAGATCGATCGAGTCCGTTGAAATGAAATATGTTTTGATATGCTAAAAAAATCCTAAGACATAAAGTTTTTGATCGGATCAAACCGAAAGACCCCTTAACTATTATGAGGGTTAAGAGAACAAATCACACTTTTACCACTAAACTATACCTTCTTACCTACTAGGCTAAAGTCGTGGGAACAAGGTTGTCCAAGTTGACACTTATCATCATCTAGAATCTCATATCGTGTGTCCCTGAGGCATGAGGCAGATGGGTGGTGTCCAGAATCAAACTCCAGAGTTTCCCTACTCATTCTGTCTAGAATCAAACCCCAGAGTTTCCCTACTCATTCTACACAGACGCGGCACCTCCCTACCCACTAGGCTAAAGCCGTGGGCACGGCATGGTCAAAGTTGACATATGAATATATGATTCATTCTCTCTTGTCTGGAATTTCCTGTTTTGTGTTCCCCAAGGCAGGTGGGAGGTGTCTGGAGTCGAACCCCATACTCCCACTCATTTGCAAGCATGCCCACCTCCCTACCTACTACGCTAAAGGCCACGGGGACAAAGATGTCAATTATCACTGTAGAATTTGTCGTTTGTTTGTTCATAAGTTTGTGGGTAGAGGTAAGGTACGCGTACATCACCCCTCTCCCTCGGGCGTGGGAGGAAAGACCCCTCCTACAGATGGGATTCATTTTCGGGTTGGTTTATATGTTTGTGGGACCCGTCTAGACTTGAGATGGTACCGCGAAAGGAACGAACACGATAACGGTATAAACAAAAAAGAAAAGAAACTTACCTCATCCAAATCCATCTCCATCTCAAGCCATTTCAATGCTTTGACAATCACTTCTAACTTGATCTGGTGTGCCTTACTTGGGTCCTTCTGCTTTTGGATGATATAGCTGCCACAACAACACAGAGTAAGACAAACACCACTTTATCCTACAAAATCCGTCCTTTCGGATAATATCTTTCGGTATTGAAAGCTTACATTTTTTTTACCAATCGTTGGTACACCTGAAGCTCTAGCTTCTCGAGGACAAGATAAACACCTGATCTCAAGAATCTAAATGGAACATATTTAGCTTTCAGAAGAGAGAATTGGCTACACCTATAACAAGCTAGAGACATACCGGTCTTCATGCTCCTCAAGCGCTTGTCGAAGAAGTCTGAGATCACCTCTCTTCATAGCGAGTACGATGTCATTATACTGTAACACCACCAAAAAGTTAAATATAAGTATATCTCGCTCGAAAGTAGGGTATGGGGGGTAGAAATCGTAGAATGTATGTAGAACTTTTCCTCTACCCCAAAGGGGAGAGAGGTTGTTTCTATGAAAACTCTGACTTGCGAATGAACAAAAACAAGACCCACAATCCCATATTCATTTCATGGTTTGGCGTCCCATCCTTGTGGTTGTAAGAGCATCTCCGACAGATTCTTGATAATTTCTCAAGCAAAGTTGAAATCTCCTAAAAAATTACATTCATCTCCAACAATTTCTCCCTTTTGGAGATTTCAACATAAATTACACTACTAATGTATTAAATAGTTTTAATATCCCAATGAAGTTTATACGAAATGATAATGCATTCAACTTCAGCGGTGGAGCGTGCAACAATAAAAAACATCTCTCTCCCTTCAAAATTTAATTGTGATAATTTTCAAATTTGGAGATTATTATACTCTCTCCTATTTTCTCTGATTTGGATAAAGTTTTGGATGATCTGTTGGGGCGAAAAAAATAGCTTAAAAACTCCAAAATCTTCATTTTCTCCAAAAATATGTTGGAGATGCTCTAAAGGACCAGCATATACATAGTATGAGATTAGAACAAACCAATAAGTGAAATGGTGTGAAGGATTATGAGAATACCTCAATCAGATTATACTTCTCCAGGAGTGATCTTTTAGGCAAGATCCCTATTGAAAGCTTCACAGGTACTAGATATTTCAAGATCATCCTGTTTTAGAAGAGTTAAAGAACCATGAAAATAAATTTTGCAACGACAGTCCACTTTCTCGTTCACATATCTTCCTTTCGTTAGCTAGTTAGTTAGTTACTCGCCATCACTTGAAGGGTAAACTGGGAAAATACACAAACTCTAAAGTTTTTCTATTGTTTGTAACTTTGCTTTTAAAACTAAACCACTTATCTAAAATTGGAAACAAAAACCTTGCTTATCAGCACCAGCGTTAATTATTAAATGTTTGTTTCTATCTTTAACTGATCTGGGAATTAATCTACTCATATTCATCAAGATTCATCTCCATCATCATGATTCAATTTGATCTTTTTGGTTCTTTGTTTTGATTTGGAGACAAATCCTTTTGCCATGGCTTTAATCCATCATCCGGGTTCACAGAGGCTGTTGGCGTCTCTCATCCACTCGTCCCTCCACCAAACCCCATCTTGGATTCACATTTATACTCCACCCAACGACAGAACTGGGTTAAAGATGAAGAACCCAGATCCAGGTTGAAGATGATGAAATATCGAAACAAAGGCTAAACTAAAATCTGGATCATAGTCAAATCAGGGTTTCTTCTTTGATTTATTCTTCAATGGTATTGATGGGGATGAAGTTTTTTTTGGGTAAAGGGGACGGAACCCCGGAAAAATTTATTCAAAAACTAAAACAATACAAGCTACGAGGGGCATACCCCAAGATGGGGATGAAGTTAAAGACATTGGAATTTTCATTTCTAATTTAATATAAAATTTCCGGTTTTAAAGAAAAATTAAATTAAGTGGAATATTCCTAATTTTGCCCTACGACTAATGGAGCTTAAATTACATTGACAGCCAGCAACGCAAAAAAGATATTTCAACCGATCAAAGTTCCACAATTTGACCAAAACTGCTCATTCTTGCAAGCTGAAATGTTTCTCTTTTGGCATTTTTGCAAGAATGACAGTTTGCAACGAGAAGCCAAGTATAAGGGTCGCATAACTGCAATTGTTAAATGCACGGCCAAATGCAATTTAACATCAAGTCAAAAGTTATTTTAAAGAATTTATATCCGATCTTCGTATCCCAAAAATTAGCCAACAACTTGCAATAGCTTATACAAGCCAATGCTCTAAAAAGTTTATATGCACAAAAAATTTCATGCGTAAGTTACGGTTACAGGTCATGCAAAAAAATAAATATTTTTATTAAAAACCATATGCAGGATAAGAACATGTAGCAAGATGTAAAACCTACCTTATGTTTGCTTCACTTTGAGGATCGCAATGCGTTAAGGCATACGATAATTTATGATCAGCCTGCAAAATAGAAAAGACAAATCTGTTAAGATTGAGCAGCCAACTAGGAAGCTCACTGGCGCAATCTACAAAATGCTCAAAAGTTCAATAAAACACGAATATTACATATATATCAGAAGCAATCAAATGAAATAGAAAATAATAATTGCTTACGGACTTCCATGGTATCTTATACTCCATCCCAAAATAGATGTCCACAATGAAAAAGACACAGTTTTAGGGATGTGTAATTATTACACTTTTAACAAACTAAAGGACAATTTTACCCATAATTATATAGAGATATTTTCACCATCTCATAACTAACGGTAGAATGTGAAAGTAGACATTTACTTTTGAAAGTGGGATAAACTAAAATAGTAATGTAGACACTTATTTTGGGACGGATGAAATAATTAGAGTCCGAAATTAGTAGGCATGAGAATATTCCAGGCTACTTATACTCAATTGAAATTATGATATTTTGGGTACAATTCAACTGAAATTTTTGGCAGCGACCAGGAAGGATATCCGGTAGTTGAGACAAAAAATGAAGAACCGGTTACTGAAAAATCCATCCCATGTTAGTTGGGCAATGTGAGAAATTATCTTGCAAAATAAGGCAGCTGATGTATTCAAGAAAACATTACAATTAAGCACAAGTATACCAATTCCAACAAGAAGATTACCATCTTGAGAGTACTTACAAGTTGGGCTAAAGGGATGTTTGGTTGGTTTTCCATTAAGTCATATATGGTGTCTATATAGATTGGGAAGGTTTTTGTTTGGAACAGTTTTTTCATAGATGAAAGTAGTGTGTTTTTTTAATTGAGAGGGACATGTTTGGAAACAACTTGCCTTTCTGCATAAAGCTCCCCCTAGAAGCTTACTGAATAAGAACTTTCTATATCATTAAGCCACTACCAAACAGTCATGTATAGCTGACCGAGTAAGCTGTGAGTTCCATTAAGCACATTAAGCTGCTAACAAACAGGCCCTAAGTAACATACATAATGGTGAACTGTGGATTAACTTACAGCTGAAAAGTTTTCATTCAGCACTTCCAAGCGACCAGTGTAGTACATGTATGTTACCTGTAATGAAATACAATTAAATGGTCAATTTTAGTTCTAGACTAGTTTCCCCACGACAGAACATCTTAAGTATGTTGAATACGTGATCTGTTACCTTATCCCTGACAGGAAATTCCTCAAAATCAAATATACGAGCAGTTTCAATGCTTCTTATCACACTTCGGCAAAGATGAACAGTGCCCAGCTGCAAAATTAGGTAATGACTTTTACTTTAGGTCACTTTTCCCTACCTAATATGAACAGACCTTTATTACCATGAGCCAAATAGTATGGTTGTCTTAAGTATTTGAAATAGGTTGTTCTACCAGAAAGAAAAGGTAGTTTCTTTAATTTATCATTCTTTGCTGATCGAAAAGGATAAAGAAGAAAACAGCTTTTTATAGGAAGCAAAAACATACCAATCTCTTCCTACGTAAATTGCGACAACACCCTTTGGCCTACATCTTTCAGAGTTCCTCTGTGCATTTGAATATACATGAATATATATAGGGTTAGGTTCAGAGGAAAACCGCAAAAGAGATATGAAATACTGAGGAACAACCCAGTAACTGTTCATCTGGAAGGTATGCACATGCATAAAGGTATGCACATGTGTATACAAGTAATTCGTAAGCAATTTGTCCAATATGCACATGTGCATAACATGCACACGTGCATAAAAACCAAAAAACAGCTTCAATGTATTGTATGCACATGTGCATACCGTCCTGGTGAATGCTTAATTTGAAGTTGTCTTTTGGTTTTTATGCACGTGTGCATATAGGACAAATTGCTTACAGATTACTTGTATGCACATGTGCATATCATGCAGATGAACGGTTACCAGGTGTTCATCGGTTTTTCATTTTTTGCGGTTTTCCCTTGAACCTAACCCTATATATATATACACACACACAAACTTTTGGTAATACTTTTTGTCTTGTCAACATTTTTATGAAAAACTGAATCTTAGATGAACATCATTAAGATGGACCATAAAGCTCCAAACCTCGTGCATAAAAAGGCATCTTTGCAACTACACAAGATGCAGAAATTTAGTTTTTGGTCTATCCTTTGGTATTATCCCATAATCAGTATAAACTAAAGTAGAAATCTAAAAGATATATTGACAAGAGAAAGGTTAATTTGCAGAAGTGAGAATGATGGATATGGGGAAAAAGGATCAATAGGAGAAGTGTCACCTTGAAATAAACTTTGAACAACTGGCAAGTGACGTATAGCGCCCCAACACGTTTTGGTCCTTTTCCCTACAATGTATAAACAACATTCAAGCACTTCACTATAGAAAGCATGAAACATGCTTGTAACCACAAAAAGTGTTGTGGGTTAATAATTAGATGCAAAGTAATGGAAGTGGGTAGTGAGCAGAGACGGACCGAGAAATTTTTCCAAGTAGTGGCCTCATTTGACTAAGAAACAAATATAGGAATATTTTCACAAAATCATCATTGGTGTGTTGGTTAGTTCATTGCTTTTCATATGTGAGAACTTGTGTTCAAGTCTTCTGTTGCAATTTTTTTTCAAAAACATAATAAATCTGAAATTAAAAGCTAAAAACTAAGGGGGACGTTTGGTTTGATAGAATGGTTTTTAGGGATTTGGATTTTGTGGAAGGATTTGGAATTGGAGGTATTTGGATTTGGAATCTTTGATGTGTTTGGTTTGTATGATTTGGAATGGAATTGAATTCCAGCATTTATAAATAGTCTATAAAAACAAATATAAATAATTATAAAAATAATTAAATTATTTTTATTAATTGATTATTACAAAACAAATGTTTTTAACATATTTTAAAACATTATTATATACAAATCCTACTAAATCCCATGAAATACCAACCACCCCCATAGGATTTCAAAATCCAATGTATTTCAAATCCATGAAATCCTTCAAACCAAACATGGGATTGAATTGGAATTCAATTACAAATCCCTCCAAATCCATTCCAATCCTACAAACCAAACGGGACCTAAGACAATGTCACTAACGAGATTCGAACTCGGATATGGGATGGAAGAAAAGCCTTGCAAACCAACTCTACCAAGGGAAACTTGTGTCCTCATTGTAGTTTCAAAATGGTGGCACACAACAAATTGATTTGGTGGCACTTTTCACGACCCTATGATTTTTTACACTATGACGGAGGAACAAAGCCGTGGCACGAGCCACCACATAAACCACCCGGGTCTGTCCCTGGGTGCAAGACTCAGACTCTCCAGGGAGATCTTTTGTGCAATGAGTTGACAATATGATGCAGAGTAACGAAGTGAAAGAAACACATACAGCAAGAACTCCAAACACTTTCATGAGGAATGACCCAGCTGCCTTTAGTTTCTCAGGAGTTTTTCCATTTGAAGCCAACTCTCGGTCAGCCTGTATACATTATAACACACATTCAAAAAAATTCCAAACTGCAATATAAATCACATAACAAATAACTGCACAGATGAGGCTGAAACGTCGATTTTTCATGTTTTTAGAAAAGGTACCACCTAGGAATTCTACGTTACTACCAGCTTGCATTTTTACCCCAACACAACTAATTTGGGATAAAAAGGCTTCTTTTTTTGGAAGGGTATCCAGGGCTACGCCCAGACTAATTCTGGCAAATTGGGACCGTAAAACATCAGCCCTGATAAACTCAGTGGATAAAACGCTTCTTGTTGTCTCTCATTTCCATTTTTGTTCACTTTCTGGGATTAAGAGTAACATGATAACATTCCTTACCCTCTCAGCAAGAACCCTAATTTCATATACAACTACATACAATGCTTCTAACGCCCATGCTGACTCCCAGTTCCGGAATTCCTGAATGAAAGCACTGAATAATTTCCCATATTAGCACACCATCAATACGATAGAAGTTACAAAACAAAAGCAAACAAATGAGAGCTCAAATTAGGCACGAAAAATACTTTGCAGATTTCTCAAACGCCTGGTAAGATTCAGCCAAGTGCCCGACCCTATAACTCTGCATAGCTCGAAATAAAGGAGCTACTATTTCCGCATACTGAGAATACTTATCGGCTTGCCTGATCAATCTGTTAGCATCCTGCATGCATAAACGTTTAGCAACAATATTCTTTATCAACACACTTGTGACAAAAAAGGAAAAAAGCGGCAAGATACAAGTTTTCTTCTCACACATAAACACACTCGAATACACACAGCTAGATCGATATCTAAATTATTGCACATGATTTAGAAAACATATATAGTGCCACTTTGACTGTTGTGCTGAAACTAATAGCTCTCTGATGAGTAATTGATGCTGAATTATTTGGATTTAGAAGCTATAACAGTTACTCTAAAACATATTTTAGATGTTACTTTTTTCTTAATCGGCAAATCCCTGAGAAGGCTAGAGAAGATGTTCAATAATGATGATTCAGTGACCACTGGGTCATATTGGGTTGATATTCATATCCTTGCCACACAAACTTAATGCTAACTTTGTAGATTCCGAAGTGCGAGTAAAATCCAGTGGGGAAGTCCATTCCGATTACCAAGGCTAGAATTGTGTTCAAGTTTAGTGATTGACTTTTAGAATTATCATACTTGGTTTTCCTTTGCAAACTAACAACCATTAGTTGCAAATATGACAAAAAAAACAGTACAATTGGCAAGAATGAATAGCTTTGGTGGAAGCATAAATGAAAAAAGTTTTCACTTTTTGTTCACAATTGGTCGTTTTTACAAGTCAATGTCTCAAATTTGTAGCAAACAATTGAGTCACTGCACTTGTAAAAACGACCAATTGTGAACAAAAGGTGGAAACTTTTGCATTTATGCTTCCACCAAAGCTATTCATTCTTGCTAACTATACTGGTTTTCAATTTTTTGTCATTTTCCCAAACTATGATTGTTAGTTAGCCAAGAAAAACTATGTATGACAATTCTAAGAGTCAATCACTAAACTTGAGGCCAATTCTAACCTTGTAATTGGAATGGACTTTCCCAACCGAGAGTTACAATGCTTCCAAGGTCAATCGCACCTTTAAAATTCGAACTATGGGTAGTTTTGAAGAATACAATTCCATGGATTTAGAATTGATACACATTAACATAATCTAACAAAGACAATGAAAAAAGCATTCAAAATCACAAAAGAATCACCAGAATATGTATAATTACTTGATACCTGAAAGAGATTTAGAGCATCGGCGAGTGCGAGGAAAGAAGATGATTCAGAAGATAGAGAAAGAAGATGTTTGAGAGAGGTTCCGTCTTGGTACGAAACGACGTCGGCGAATCGATTCAAATACTCGGTTATCCTTCTGTGTGCTTCTCCCATGCTCATGTAGGACGCCATTGTTAACGATTATCCTGTACAAGTCTTCCTGAATGAAAACTTCAATTAGGGTTCATAAGACATGGAAAAAGGGAAGAAACGAATTGTAGAAATTGCTTTGAATTTGGCAACGACTCTTTGTTTATGAACATCTAGCCATGGTGGTTTATGAGGGTTTCAGTGGGGGAGGTATGTATGACCAATGGGGGTGATGAGTAATATAGAGTAAATTACATTTTTGGTCCATGTAGTTTGTTTGAAGTTACAAGTATACTCCATATGGTTTATTTTGTACATTAACAGTCCCTGTAGTTTGTATTTTCTTACGGATTTATCACTCGCCTAACTTATAGAATGAATAATGAACGATATATGCATGGAAAACAATAATGGGAAATCTTTCTCTTTCTTTGTTTTTTTAAAGCAAATTTTAATTAAATATGAGAATCAACCGGCAAAATAGGAACAAAACTTTAGGGTAGGGCAAGGACGGATTTATAATGGTGTATACGGTGGCACGTGTTATTGTATTATTTCTTCGTCGAAAAGTAAAAAAAATTAGGCTCATAAAAGGTGCAACCATATTAATTTGTTGTGTGTGATCGTATGTATTTTGAAACTACGATTAGAACAAGTTTTAGGGGTTGTATGACGGTTGTTGAATGGTTTGGTGCAAAATGATTAAGAGGCTCTTATGATATAGTGTCAAGTGAAATATAATTGTTTGGTAATTGGTTACAATGAAATTAGGGAACTTAATGGTTAAAGGAGACTTATGATACAAAATCATTCAGAAGGTTTTAGAACCATTAAGAGGCGGGTTTTTTTTCTTGTCGAACAATATTCCAACTCTTAACGATTCAGAAGTTGACTCTTAATAGAACTATTAAGAAACCCATTGGTATAGTTGGTTTGCAAGGCTTTTATTCCACCTAGACCTAAGTTCGAATCTTGTTAGCGTCGTTTTTTTAGTCAAATGGTGCCAACGTTTGAAAAAAAATCGTATATTTGTTTCTTATAGTCAAACAGTGTCACCGTTTGAAAAAAAATTCCCTATTTTTTTTTATAGTCAAATGGTGTCACCGTTTGGAAAAAAAAAAATGGGTCCGTCCCTGGGTAGGGAAGTCACATGCTTACTATGGTCCGAATAAAAACACAACTACTAGCTATGTTATAGGCAATCGTGTATGCATACCGTTTGATGAAAATGGTAAGAATGTTATCTCTGAGATGTAAAAGAGCTTTGCAGTCTTGAGTAATTACGCCAAACTATGAGTTCAGTTTATGTATTGCTTCTAAGGGTTTAAATCATTGTCAAACAGTCTGTTTTGGCAATTACTTGATGTAACGGGTTAGTATTGCTCCGAGTCAGTGCCTATTTAACTCTGATTGCTTCAACAATTTCAGGTTGCACCATTGCTCTTTGTCTGCCTCTTCAAATACATACGTGTGAGAAAATTATTTATAGGTTATTTAATTGTTTAACTACAGAACTGGGATTCATATACTGCAATTAGAAAATACATATAATACGTGAGAAAAGTGAAATAAATTCCAAAGATAATCATTTTCCTTTCCAGGTAAACTTAGGTGGCGTTTGGTTTACGGAAATCTAATTACACTAATCAAGTTTATCTGTACGTTTGATTCTTTCAGTACATAATTCCAGTTTTATTTTTCATTATATCTTAAAAAAGAAAATTATTCACATATATTTACTCCAATCACGTTCTTCCCACCATGATGGTCGTCACTGCACTCGGGGTTTAAGGAGGGAGGTAACTGACATGAGATTCAATCGGGAGGTCGTATGTGTATGTATATATAATATATTTATTCAAGAAATAAAAAAATGAAAAAAAAAATACCCTTGATTTAATGATGACTTTTTGACAAAGTTGAGGCGAATGACCAAATTCGTAAGGAAATTTAAATCATATGAGCCATCAAAACAATACAATAAAAAAACACATAAACGAAAATGTAGTTTACTCTAAAGTTTCAATTTGAATTAGAGACGTAATTCAATCATGCAATAGTTTGACAAAAAATACCAATTAAAACTGCACTGTAAAATTTCTAAACAACCCAGTTTTATGCCTTTTTTTGCCATTGGATGAACACTTATTGTGTTTATAACTATAGAGCGTGGTTTGATTTACAAATCCAATCATTTATACAAACTATACAAACCAATTAATTAGGATATATATATATATATAGGGGAGCGATCAAATGCAAACCACTCAATTTGTACAAACCGTGCAAACCGCATTCAACCAATCATAATTTTTCATTTTGTTCATTTTTTTGTAATTATGAGAGGTTGATTAATCATTTTTATTGTGGAGGGTGTTAATCATAGA